TAACGTGATGTAAATTTTTTATGCTTCCTCTTCAAATATAATTCATTTTTTTAATTTGTTGATTTTGTCTGTGTGTATTTCACACAACATCTCAAACCATCTTATTCATCTACACACTCACTTCCAGGTGGCACCCTCTCATACCCCCGCCCACTAGAGCCCTTATACTCGATCATCCTTGCTACTGTTGTCGGCACCCCAGCCATTCCCCACTACTGGTGGATCTAGGCAGCCTATCTACAGGTCTTTGTTTTAGGAGGGTCAGCTGTTCCTCATCTAGCAGTAATCAGTTGCCAACATTCCTTTAGATAAGATTGGGGTCTGATGTTCATTTTTCCAGTTCTATGCTGAGTTACTATCTGCCTGAGTTTGCATGGCACTTGTGTATGCTGACACCTTTGCCAGAGAATCATATGAGTAAGTTCCTTTCTTTTACCAGCTCCAGCTATGCAAAGATAAGTCAAAGGCCCTACTCAACTGTGTCTGGCTTTACTTGAAAGCATGAAGGAAATGCTTCTTCTGTGTTGACCCTCCTCTTTGTAGACTGGACACTGGTACAAGTCCATCTGGTAGGTCTCCATGGCCTCCTTGAACAAACGGAGAGGTAACTCACCACAGTTACAGGACATTTTGAGAGATGCTCCATAGTCCCCTGGAACTTAGCTGACCTTGGAGGGCAAGGAGCAAACACTGTTCTTTAAGTCCCTCTGACCAGATTAGTATAGGCCTCAAAGTATGAATGTTAAACATCCAAGGAGGTTAGTTCCACCAGTCTGGTACGTTTTATTACCATGTGCTATGGTAGATAATGCGTGGGCAAAAACTGAATGTTCTCAGATATATCTTGACTAGACATATATTTTGTTCCTTGAACTGGTTGTATGTATAATTTGTCAGTAGGTTCCTTGGACTAATGGTTCCCTCTGGTTTTTTAAAACTAACTAGGCATTATTTATCTCCCTCACTGTCTAACCCTACCACTGGGGTTTCCTCATTTAAAGTGCCCCCATTTTCCCCATTTCTTCCTTCGCCTATGGTCCCACCTCTCTTGAACTCCTTTCTCTTTATCTCCAAGATTCCTTGTATAACCCTCCCTCTCCCTCCCATTTAAATAACGCCATTTTTATCCATAGCTCCCTTGGTAACACCTGTTTCCTACTGTTCTTCTCTCAGGTTCTTTCTTTTCCTTTACCTCTCTGGCTCCTTTTCATTATCCTGGTTCCCACAGTTACATCTGGAT